GAATTTCGCGTTGACGTATGCGCTCGCGTTCACGTTCCCTTTCGCGTATGCGCTGTTCACGCTCTTTATCGACTTCCTTGGAACGAACTTGGTCACGTGAACGTTTATTGTCATTTGATTTTTCATCTTTGGCTTCTTTATCATCTTTTTTATCCTTTCCCTTATCTTTGTCCTTATCGTCTTTTTTAGTATCACCAAGTTTCCGTTTTTCATCATAAGGTTTGGCACCATCTTTAGCAGAACTTTTTTTGTCGTCATCTTTCTTTTTGGATGCTGAACGCGAACCTGTAACTTTTGCTGAGTCCTTAGCTCCGTTTGATGTATTACCAATTTCATTTTTTGTACGTTCCACAGATATAATGCGGCCATGCAGTTCAGTCCGGTTCAAATTTTCGATACAACGAGTAGCATCAGATGATGATGACATTGTAACGTAACCGTAACAACGGGAACCCGGTGTACGCGTATTTGTAACAACCTTTGCACCGATTACTTTGCCATACTTGGAGAAAATTGTTTTCAAGTCACTTGCACGTGTCAATGTTGATAAACCGGAAACCCATAAATTACGTGATGGAACTGTAGGCTTTGAGGATTTCGATGAGATGCTAACAGTTGATGCATTAGTAGTCTTTTCTGCAATGTCCATACAAATAATAGCGGAAGAGTAAAGTTGAAAATTATTATATTATTTCATTAAAAAATTTATTTTTATGTTGTACAGACTGAAGCATTTAGAACATTCTCGTCTGCTTTTTTGACATAATTGTATTGTTTGAATCTATACACCTAAAACTAAACACTATTACAACAATTAGTACTGTATTTAATATTATTTAGCACAAGTAAGAGTGTGAATTTATTGATTTGACTGTAGTTGCTAACTGTAGAAGTGGATACGATACTGCTGCGGTTGCGTTGATGTTTATGATTATTTGTTTTCTGGAATATCAGCAAATATTTAGCTAAAAAGAAATTAAATGTTGAAAAATAATTGTATTCATTAAACTTTTTTTTATTTAATTAATGTGTTGTTGTATCCGCATTTGAACTTTTTTTGAATATGAACAACTGCTTCTGTCCTCTATTGTGATTCAGTCGCTTTGCCTCCGTGTTTGTCGTTGCTTCGAAACGGGATATGTCTATATGAGAAACATAATGTGGTCCCTTTAATATAGATGCTTTGTCCTTTACAAAAATAATGTTGGCGACTAATCCGTTCTAGATACTTTTTTGAAATGTGTTGCATTTTGCAACGTACAAAAATAATGTAGCACTGTCCTTTGTTGATAAGATTGTAAATTGCTTTACCGAATTTAATAGCAGCCACAGAATAAGTTTTATTTTACCTTTACATTCATCCATTCAATTAATTCCACATGTGCGTTGATAGTCTGCATACCACAATTTGGATTTCATTTCGTTGGAAATGATAGCTATAATGATATGGAGATGTTGTCAAAAAGAGAAATAAAAGCAATTGTTGACCTAATCCTGTAAAAACATATTTCAGCTATCTTTTGGCTGGCTCCGTGTAGTTGTAAACTCGTTCCTGTTGATCACGTCTTTCGACACTTCCAAAAAGATTTACTGGTCGTGAAGCAAACAATATAAACCAATAGCGTGCCAATCCACAAAGTCTCGGAATTATATATAAGCGAGTTGTAGTCTTGGAATAAACGATTCAGTTGAATCCACTTAACAGTTAGGAGAAAACTTTCATATCAGCAATAGTTTTAGCGACTGATGATTTTAACCACAAAACACACTGAAGAATGTAAACTGCATATTATAACACAGTTTAAGTAATATAGCAGCATAATTATGCTACTTGTTGATCCAGAATTGTTCACACACCATTCACACCATGAAATATTGTTGAAATTTATATATTCTTCACAAAATGATGGGTGGATACTTTTTTTATATCCATAATCAGCATTAAATGATATATTATTCATACAAAAATTTTGTGTGGTAATGGTTATGAGTAACTGCAACTGAAGTAGAAAATATACAGTGAAGTAGAGTAGATCCCTCAGATTTTGTTTTGATATTTTGGTATATTTTCTGCTACTTAAACGTCTAATGATGAAAAGGTATAAATAACCTTCAAAAGCAATTATTGACAATGTTGGTTACTGTCTGTCTTCAGTAAAACAGATCAATTCTCGGGCCTATCCACATGTACATTTGTTCAACAGATTTAAAGGCTTATGCATTTACACCACCCAATAAGAATGCTGTATTGCTAGCTTTTAGAATTATTCACTCGGCTACTATTTGGTACTTGCACTTAGTACATCTGGTATATGTATTGCATAATGTCAGTCGATTGACTCCTCTTAAACTACTATAATTTTGAAGTCATTTCACGCTGTAAGCACAAACACAATTTTATATAAACCAGCGTTAACTCATTTCCCTTCTATTTAGAAACATTATTATGCTACTTTATGCAACCTTTATAAATATGTTCATAACTCTTGCTGCCATCTTTTCATCTGTTGTAGTAACCTTTAGTCCTCAGAAATATGCAATCTTCAGTTTTGTAAAATCCTTCAGCAATTGATTTTAGTGAAATCCTTCTGTGTCATATCAATCAAATTCACACTCTTTACCTTAAGCACATTTTACAATAATTGTTTTCAATTTCGAACCACAAATTTTTTTCATGTTTCGATTAACAAAACTAACACACACGAAATTATTTGAATGTTGCTAACTTCTACGTATTTACCTTTTTCATCCTTATGTGACGATTTTGTTGACGATTTATGTTCACTGTATAATGAATAATTAAAACAAAAAAATTTTATGAGTATTTTCTGCTTGTGTTGCATGAGGTATAAGATATTTTTGACTAAAATAATAAAGCACAAAGTCGACATAATAAAAAACGTATATCCAATAAAATTAAGCAATTTTGCAATTGCGCTATCCATCATACAAATTTCTGTTTGTATGATACTTTTCTGGGTTTTCTGACACAGCTACTGTTTTCTTAAATTCGTATGTTTCATAAATTAAATAGTTTTGTATGTTCCTCAAAAGATTAACTTTGCACTTTATTATTTTCGTTAATTACGCTTCAACCAACCTCGTGTCTTTTTTGTCAATGGACTTCTCTTCTTTTTTCTTATTTTTGTTGGAAGCCTCATCTTTGCCACCCTTTTTCTCATCTTTTTTTCCTTTGTCGCTATTTTGTTGTTCCTTAGCTGAGCTCTTATCCTTTTGTGATTTGCTGGCTTCAGCTATTCATTTTATTATTTATAATATCGAAAGATATGTTATTAACATCTTAATAGCAATTTAAAGGAGATTATATATTACTGAAGCAATATAATAGAATATTGCAACGAGTAATTTTGGCTTCCCACACAATATGAGTTTAGAGGTTGTTATATACATATTTATATCATATCGCATTATATGTATTTTATAACATATATATAAATATGTATAAAACACAAATAGTTATGAAATATATATATCAAAGTCAATATATACGCATATTAAGGAGTGCTTCATAAACATACCTGTTTTTTCTTTTTCATCTGCAGCCTAGTAATGAAAAGTAGTTTAATAATTTTATTTTCAATAAATTTTTGTACGTTTGAGCTTACTTCATGTAATAATTGTTGCTCTTCTTCGCCAATTGTCAAATTAATTGATTCTTCGGTGTCATGATTATTATTTTCACTAATTTCTTCTTCGTCCTCTTCTTCGTGCACTTCATCACCTTCACCACGTTCATTTTCCTCATTTTCTTGTTCATCAGCGTCAGCATCAGCATCGACGTCTGCTTCAGCATCTGCATCATCAACATATTGAGACTCTTCATCTTCATTTTCAATGATAACACACTCGTCATCTACAGTTCCCACTTGATCAATCTCGTCATCTACGTTCGCATCTGCATCGCCATTTTCATTACCAGACTGAAATCCATCACGACTGTCTTCTGGGTAACCATCCATAACGGGTTCTTCCTTTATTTTTATTTCTTCCGTTCCAGTTCTATCTTTAGATTTTGGAGTTATTTTATCTCCACTTTTAAAAACGTATTTCTGAGGATCATGGCCTTCTTGCTTTAAGGCCTTTAAAAAAAATATTTATTCACATTTTTATTATTGACGCAAATATTAATAAATTAAAGTTTTAAGAGCAATAAAATACACATTACAAAACTTTTAAAATATTAATATATAACATTGAAAATAATTACTAATACCTTTTCTAAACGTTCTACTAATGTGGCCTTAGCACCAACAGTATCCATTTTACGTTTCTCAAGCTGAAGTTTCAGATCAGAAACCCTTAATTCACTTAACTTTTTACCAGTTTCAACCATTTTGTTTACAGAAGTATTTCTTTAAATTGTGTTTTAACTTCAATTAACGACTTCTAAAGCTTGCTATGATCAAACTACTTTTCTTAATATTGCGACAGTGAAAAATTCTACTTTTCTGTATTGAGTAACAAAGCAAAATGGCTGCCAGTCAGCACGCTGATTTGACAATAGTAAAAATCGATAATACAGAACATTTAACTAGATGTGTCAAATTTATTATATGACAAATTTATGATGCATTCAAGTCCGGTAATCGGATATTTGGTAAAATGAAAAACGTGAATATGTAAAATTCATGTAAAATACGTTTCTTATTTAAAGTTTATTTCTATAAATATTTTTGTAATTAATGTTTGTTATAACCCTAAATTAGATATAATCAGACCTCATAAAAAAACATCAAACTTGATACCTTTGTAATTCATTAACATTGTCACATCGTAATTTCACAAAACATACATTAAACAAACAGTTTCGGTCATTAAGGTCGTGTGCGAGTTCAAGTAAATTGATAATTAATTGGGGGAAATAGTTAATTATGTAGCAATGGCAGCAAATGCTGGTATTTACCAGAATTTTGAGTAGGGTAAATTAGGTGTTACCATTGTGTGTGGAAATTTTATAAGATGTTCAATAAATAAATTTTAAATTAATAAGTGAAATAAATAAATGAATAAATATTTACATAAATGCAATGCAAAAAATCCTTAGGAATTTTCAATTTACTTTACCTCAATTTACTCGATCTCACGCACGATCATAATATAGACATTATTAATGATTCAAAAATGTTTGTCAACTGTAGTCATATTTGCTAGTGAGTTCAAAACGGCATTGCAAGCTAGTATTTGTTGCCAATATAATAGGTTAATTAAGGACGTGTGGGAGTTAGGCTAAGGACGTGTGGGAGTTAGGCTAAGTTGCGTTCTAAATGATGAAAACTCGAAGTTGTGCCGATAATGTAGTGATGTGTCGATACGTGTTGATAAATGGCTAAATGTGTACAGTGCAAAAAATCCCAAGAAAAGTCCCATTTGGTTTAGCATCTACTTAGCCTAACTCGCACACGTCCTTATTAAACATCTTGTAAATTTTTTACAATGGTAACACCTAATTTATCTAATTCTTATTTAGGTCGTGTGCGAGTTAGGCTAAGTTGATGCTAAACCAGATGGGAAATTTTTTGGGATTTTTTGCACTGCACAGATTTAGCCATTTATCAACACGTATCGACACATCACTACATTACCGGCACAACTTAGAATTTCCCTCATTTAGAACGCAACTTAGCCTAACTCGCACACGACCTAAATAGCTTATGAAAATATCAAGATGGCAGCACTAAATTTATGTCAAATATAATTCAATAGTTTACTGCCTTATCGACACAATTTAGCATTTTTTAGCAATTTAGTTCAACTCACACGCATCCCAAAATTACTTTACTAATGGATTTGCATATATTTATTTAGTTATATATTGAAGTTTGTTAGATAAATTTCGATAATTTAATTGCGTTTAGTGTAAATTTATTACTGTATATATTGTATTATCTTATATGGAAATGGATAATGTAAATAATAAATTAAATACTGTATTGGGACTATTTATGAACATAATTAGTTTAAACAACCGACGCAAGTTGATTGCAAAGCGTTTGGAAAGTAAATATCCACAGGTAAATATATTATAATTTCATTAATATTAAAAATGAAATAAGAATTCTGATTTTTCAGCGCAGAATGTTATGCCAGGGTGGATATTCTTCCAAAATATTTAAGTTAGTTATGCAAAAAGATAATGCGACTGTACGAAAATATTTAAGGCTTACAGTAACTGCATTAGAGAGTGTATTTAATTATTCTAAACAGTTTCTAAAAACTGAGAAGGGCTGGAGCTGCTATTTCAATATTACTGTGTTTCTGTATTGGCTTGGCTGTGGAGCAAGCTACCGAGTAACAGGAGCTTCATTTGAAATATCCAGATACACGGTGCGAGATATTGTACATAAATGCTTAAAAGGTTTCCTTACATTTAAATCTTCTGTTATCAAATATCCAATGGAAAGTGAGTTTCCCGAAATTTCAAGACAATTCAATCAACTAGCTGGTAGTACAATTTTCGATCGTGCATTAGGTGTAATAGATGGAACACATATACCTATAGCTGTGCCTACACGACTTCGGGACGAATATATGAACCGAAAGTCTTTTACATCTCTTAATTTGCAAGCTGTGTGTTCTAGTACAAATAAATTTTTATCTATTTGCGTTGGTTTCCCAGGGTCTATGCCTGATGAAGCGGTTTTATATAACAGTGAGTTATTCAATACACATAGTTTTCCACCTGCAGGTTACTACCTATTAGGTGATAATGCGTATTCTTGTCGAGCTAGTCCAATAGGCATTTTGACACCATATAAAAGATTGCAACCGTTAACAGCAAGACAAAAAAAATTTAACGAGCTCCACAGCAAGGCCCGTTCCATTATTGAAAATACATTTGGTACGTTAAAACTACGTTGGCGGTCGATTTTCGATAATGTACTTAGGTTAAAAGTCGAACATTGTATTCAAACAATAGCTGTAGCATGTGTAATGCATAATATATGTCTGAATGATGGATTTGAAATTGATGAAAAACACAATATCTCAGAGGACTTGAAATATGAAGAAGTTCTGATTGAAGACGAAAACATTG